AAAAAAAAAAAAAAAAAAAGAAAATAGACTATTGTTTTAAAAAGGAAGAGCCAAATCCAGTGTCTTTTCAAAACCACACTAACTTAAAGTCAAAATCATTGATGGCTTAATATTTACAGAGATAAAAGATCAAATTTAATATCAAATAATTTATCTTAAAAGATTTATTTGTATTTGTGATGGACAGGGTAGAAATCCTAAGATATTTTTGTGAAGGTTGAATATGCACTCCAATTATACAAGGGATTTTTCAAAAAGTTCATGGAAAGACTCATATTATCTTTTAATTCTATTTTCCACAAAACTTTAGGTGCCCTCATTTTTGTTGAATAGTTCCACTTTTTATGACACTGACATTTTCACTATTTTAATAAAGAATTAGTCTAGTAACATGGTTTTCAATTAACAGATTAAATAAGTTCTGAGCCAAGCTATACAAATCACCAATATTTAAAGAGGAAATTATTGAGCACTTGTTGAAAACAAAAATTTCACCCTAATTAAATTTTATATTAATATCTGTAGTCCTTGTACTCTGTCATTGCTTCCTCTCCCTTTATTTCTTTCCTCTAGTTCAAATCCCTATATACAGCAGGCATGATTCTTAACTGACCACAAATAGACATCCTGTCAGTAATTATTTAGACAAACGTATATTCCATCTGTCTGATGTACCAAGCACTGTATAATCCCTGCAGAAAACAAAACTGACAAAACATGGTCCCTACCCCTCAGTGAGACAACTCTAGTGAAATACAGACCTGCTTGGGATTGGAGGGAGAGTGTTAAATGGAGACTTCATATTGAATAAAGTTTAAAGAACGATGTGGATTTTCTTAGACTAAGTTAGAAAGGGCATTTCAGTTAAACAAAATGGTATGTGAAAGGCATTGGGATGACATAGTGGGGGTTTCAAAAAAGCATAAAGAGTAAAGTGGAGCAAGGGTGTATAAAGAGAAGTGATGAGTTGAGATTGGGAAAGTACTTTGAGGGCCAGATAATAAAGTTATTTGTATGCTAAACTAAAGTGTTGTGCATTAAACACAGGCTTTGGGATAGCATTAATTAGATGAGTTATATGATTAGCTTTATATCTTAAAACTAAACAAACACATAGAAAATGGATTGGTGAGGGCTGAACAGTTAGCTCGGTTGGTTAGAGCATGGTGTTATAGCATCAAGGTCAAGGGTTCAACCCTTGCTTCAGCCAGCCCCTTTCTCATCCCCCGTCTCTCAAAAAAAAAAAAAAAAAAAAAAAAAAGATTGGTGAATATAAAGAAAGGATCCTGGAAAATTAATCATGTGCTAATTTCAGAGAAGAAATTGTACTTTGAAGTAATTATATCTTTAAGTCAGTGGCAATAGGTATGAAGAAGAGGGAATAGATTCAAATGTTGAAGATGTAGAATAGAAAATATTTGAAAACTGACTGGATGTAATGGAAGTGAATTGTGGTCTAATTTTGAAACAGAGAATATATGGAGCATAGAATTGAGTGAAGATATCTTGGAACAAGATAATAAGTTTGACTGGGTTGTGTTACATTAAGGTGTCTGTAGGGCATTGAAGAGTAAATGTACAATGAGCAGTTGGAAATATGGAACTGTTATTATAGGGTGAGATTTATCCTGGAGTATTTGGGAGTCAAGAGCATATAGATAATAGATTTAAAAAAAAAGAGAGAGGACCATTTCCCACAGAGGAAAGAGAAGTAAGAAAAACTTGGCTAGAGCAAAATACCACAGGATACCAATGTGGAAAGAGCAGGCAAGAAAGGGAAGTCCATGATTCTCCTGTGAAGGGGATGCCATGACCTACTCTCAGGAGGAATTAAGAAAGGAGAGCTTTTAAAGAATATCAGAATGTTCAAAAGAGGTATATTCAGTGAAGAAATCCAATAAAATAAAGATTAAAATTGCAGTTTGGATTCAGCAATTAGGACACTAGTGTGGTGGTCTTGGCACAGTGTATGGGTAGGAGAGGATGCTGCCATAAATGGAAGGTAGGTCTCCTCAATACAAGCATGCTTTTGTTTTACTGAATCCCCCAATAGGATAGGATATACAAACATAAACCTTTTAACAGAGTTTGGTTCTTGGAGCTTGGAAATGCTGAATTTGAAGAGAATTTGGGACTCTTGGAAATAATTCTGGAGGAAGGGGATAAAGAAAAAGAAAAAGGAAGAAGAGAGAAAAGCTAACAAGATGACTTGAGGCTGTGTGTTAAATTGACGTGGTAAAATAAAATGAGATATTTGGACCTTGTCCCCAGTTCCGGGCACAGAGCTCCTAAAACCCTTGGAAATTTTTTGTGTAATGGGATTGTCTTTTGTTACTTCTAAGGAGCTTCTTTGGAACATACCTGAGTCTATGCTAATGAAGTGAATCAAAGTGGGGCCTTTAGGTAGTCTCAGGATCGGAGCTGGCCACCAAAAACACCAAAGGTGACTAGAGGGTGAGAACACTCAGTTCTGTCCCCTGACATCCTGAGAGGGGTAGGACACTGGAGGGAGATTGGGTGATAAAACTCTCGGACAAGGAGGCTTGAGAGCTTCCAGGTTGTTGAACACACTGAAGTGCTGGAAGGGTGGTGCACCTGGAGAGGGCATGGAAGCTCCACCCTTCCCCCCCATTCCTTGCCCTATATTATCATTTTCATTTGGCTGTTCCTGAGTTATATTCTTTATAATAAACTGGTAAATATAAGTAAGTGTTTTCTTGAGTTGTTCTAGTGAATTATTGCACCCAAGGAGAGGATTGTGGGAACCCTCAAATTTATATCTGGTCGGTCAGAAGTATGAATGGACCCTGGGACTTGGGACTTCTATCTGAAGTGAAGGCAATCTTGTAGGATTGACCCCTTAACCTATGGGGTCTGTACTAACTGTGGATAGTTACTGTCAGAATGAATTAAATTGAATGTTGCCCACCCAGTTGGTGTCAGCGAATTGGAGAATTGGTGTGGATAAACCCCATATAATTTGGTGTCAGATGTAATGTCAGAAAAAGATACTTCAACTGGTCTGCTAAAAATTCCCCAGTGGAGGAGTAACTTAAGGGTGCTGATATAGGATTGTAAAAATTGTGTTTGAAATTATATATATATATGTGTGTTGTGATATAAAACCTTTTCCTACCAAGTATTCAATAAATCCTATTGTAGATAGAAATTGCCTTGTTTGAGTGTATTTATTTTTAATTGTGGAAACTCTAGGAAAGGAGTTGAGTTTCACTTCTGGGTTAATGAGTATGGAATGAAGAAAGCTCACATATCTCAAGAATAATACAGAAATGGGATGGTGGAGTTTGGACTCAGGATGATTAATAACTTAGAAGCTCTTGGAAATTAAAGATATACTAAAAAGGCTTTAAAAGTCCTTAGGAAATAAAATTGAGGGTTTTAATCAGTCTTAACTAGATCTCAAAGGAAAGGAGATATTTAAAGTTACTTTATTTATATTATAGGATTGGAAGCCAGATATCAGTGAATGGAGGAATGAAGTGGAAATAACAAAACTGAGAATGAAAACGTAGTTAATTGTAAGGATCTTAACTACTAAAGAAGGGGTCAGAAATGATGTCTCCAGTAATGGCTGTAAGAACAGACAGGGTCTGGAGTGGATGTTCTTCCCTCAGTCTAGAGAGTTTTCCTATACACTAAGCTTTTTCTCAACCTTTGTTGTAGCTGTCTTAGTTGCTATAGGTTGCCTTTCTCTTCCTGTATCCCCTCTCACTCCCGTCACCCAAAAAAGAAAACAACTACAAATAATAAATAAAAACTCACTAGAATCCTTGTTTCAGGGTTGGCTTCTGGGAAAACCCAAGCTTAAAAAAGGAGTTTACTAAGAGAAAGCAAAAAGATTGCTGAGTAGCATAAGGGGACATTTAAATTGGAAAACTATCCATTTGTATGACTTTAATTTGAACTATTCTCAAATTTCTTCAGAGTCATGTAATAAATAGCCTGCAGTCATGAATGGTGTTTTTGAAGTAAGTAATTTTAGGGGTAGAAAAATAGTGTTTCGAGTTAAGTCTACAGTAATACTGAAAGAAATTAAGTCTTGAATTTGGTGAAGTCTAGCCCCTGGTAGCAGTAATGATTCTTACTGATTTTTACAGATGTTTCAACTTTAATATCATTGGGTTTCTATTTCAGTTTTTCTGATATGATTATGCCATCCAGGACAGCAATATGAATAATGATTTCTTGTATTCTTTCTTCTTAGCCAGAGTGCAGTACTGTGACATTGATGCAACTCCACAAAATTGGACACAAAGGAATAAAAATGTCATTACTTGTAATCCTACCTTCCTTTTTCCTTTAAGGACAGAGAGTTGCCTGGAAATACAGTTTCAGGTAAGCCTAAATAATGCTCAGACCTGGCCATCAAAAAGTGTAAAGAATGTAAAAAGAGCTCCTCTTCCATTGATGACTTCTGAAATACTTTCTGTGCAATTTTTTTATGAATGTTCAGCAGAAGAAATTGATTATGGTTGTTTTATGCATTTAATTAAGAGATTCAGGAATCCAAATGTTCAATTCACTTTTATCCTTTCAAAAGGAACTGCAAATCCTGATACTTATGGGAGTCAGATGGAGCAAATAAAGGAGAAAGTTGCAGTATAAGTATCTAAACCTATCGTACGTGAGTGGCAAGGGCTGTTTGGAACTGGAAATTGCCATGTATGTCCAAAGACATCATTCATATCTGGCACCATTTATATCTGGCTGACTTTTGTGAATGTGAGGGGTCTGATGTTGCCCTGATTTTTTCAGAAAGTCTGAATTTTGTTCAAACTTCTGACTTTTAAATGTTGTTTTAAAATGATGTGAGGCAAAGAAATATACCCGTTTGGTCCCCTATACTCAGATTATGCAGCCTCTGGGTCTGATAAGCATCTGATAATAAATGTTTATATAACATTTGTATTAACAAAAAACAAGCAAACGATAAACTGTAATTCAAATCCCATATGTGCCTGAAAGGGAATGAGAATTTTCAGGATAAAAATAAGTGGGCTCTGCAGACCTGAGTTTTAGTCCCAACTTTACTACTGAGAAGATGTGTGGACTTAAGCAAGTAATTAACTTCTCAGAGCCTTGCTTTTCTCACTTTTGTCATTAGAATTTTGGACAACATTCTGTCTAGGATATTTTTCACTTTTATATTCTGTTTTAAGGTAAAAGTGATAATATTAAAACAAAGAATTAAAGTAATCAGCAAAGCACCAATTTTGGGGGAAAATATTCTATTTATTAGTGGCTGTGGCAATGCAGCTATTCTCCAATATATATATACATATATATTTTATATCTATATATATTCTAGATTAAATATTAGAAATAGGTATATAGAGATAGATTATAAATATCATATAAAATAATGTATAATTTATGTTGTGTATATAATATTAGAACATATAGATTAGCATATACATAAGTGGAGTCAATAGAACGGAGGAAAAAAACCTAGAATTGTTCAGTATGGCAGAAGAAAGACATTTTGGAGAGTAAATGCTTGCTGTAGAGCATTCACAAAGGACAGAATTAAGGCATTGTAAAAATATATATCAATATTTATGTTCATTATTATTGTTTTGATGAAATGCCAGCTGATAGAATTACCAAATACAAAAATTATAAAGAACATTACATGATTAATAGTTATTAACCTAACTTATTTAATAACATATGTCTTCTAGACTGCAGCTATATAACAGCCATAAAACATATAGGAAGTTAAAATAATTAAATACAAGCTTACCGTAGGTATGTATGTATAGGAAAAAACATAGTATATAGAGAGTTTAGTACTATTAGCAGTTTCAGGCATCCAATGGGTTCTTGGAAAGTGTCAGCTTGGGAATAAGGGAGGCACTACAGTATTGCAATACAAGTTGAAAACTGATTAGTATAAATTCAAACGTGTAATATTTATGTTTTGGGTGGAATGCCAAATTTAAATCTCAAGAAAAAAAATAGTTAATGTAAATACTGTGTGTAGCACATGATAAGTGCTCTCAAAGATACATTATTAAGTTTCTGTTAACTAAGCCTCTGTTAAAAAAAATTTGAATAGAGTTATACGTCATAATTACCTTTACAGCTTCTCCCATCTTCTTTTACTTCAAATCCATCCTCACAGTAACATCTTGTGGTATTTCTGACTACTGCACATTTATAATGACAATTCAACTGCTGGCAATTGGGAAACAGTTCTGTAGAGAAAAAACAAACATATTATCTATATTTAATTGTGCTCACGTGTATATTGTTTAAATTCAAAAATCATTTATGTTTTCTCAATGTATGACACTAATATAGTTTGGATTGTTCTGTCAGAAGGTTTCTGTGATTGGTCTAGAGAAGATGCAATATCCACTCCCTCTAAAATATGTTGGTTTGCATTTATTTGAAGACTTGTTAGTAAAATTTTAGATCTATCTGCTTGATCTCCAACTTTCAGCTTATTACTGTATTCAAAGCCACAAAGCCTTTCAAATTCTGATAAATTAAATTATTTCAAGAGAAAAAATGTAAATTCAGTTGTTAATTTCATCTACGCTTTTCCTGACACATCAATTGATTTTCTATCTTTTGAGGGCCTGTTTTGATTTACCAATCCATGTGTAACCTTCATGGCAATCAATGTGAATATATTCAATTTCAATAATTTATTTTTCATTGGTGGAAAAATATTAAACAAATACTGGATATAGTATATTTCATCATATTTGAACTTTTTCTGCATAAACACATCATAGAAGCAGAAGTTAGCACAACCTCAGAGCAAATTAAGATTCAATGATAAATGCATGAAACAGAGATGAAATGACAGAAGCATATTCACTGAATAAATAATTTCTAACAGAAATAAGATTTGCTAATCTAGAGAAATATCTGGATAGAATGTATGACTGATTTTACTTTCTGAAAATAGGGGTATTAATGGATTGCAATAATACTATTGTTTTCTGTTTTATTCCCCAGGGAGAAAAATAAGTGCTTTGAAGATGAATGTTAAATTTTAAAATATGTTGATATTTGTCACAAGTTTAGCTGGTGCTTCAGGAAAAAATGACAGATGAAAATAAAAAAAATAAATAAAAAGTCCAACATGGAAAAGAATATCTGGAACATTCTAAACTGAACACTGGGTGTTTTACTAAAAATTTCATTATCTATAGGTTTCCTGAGCTTGATTACTTCTCAGTTCTCTCATACACCAATTTCGTACATCTCTTAAAACTCAAAACCTCCTTCCTAATGTTCACTGATATATAATGATCTTGCTTCCTACCTCTTTCAGAAAGTTGAAGCAATCAGAAGGGATTTTTCAGATTTACTCTCCATATCTACCTACCTCTGCATATTCTTGTCCCCCTTGAGTTTCAAACTAAGTTGAATTTATAATCCAGTCTCTCAGTTTGTCTCCTATGCACAAGTCCCATCCTCCCTCACCTATTCAAGGATATCATTTCAGTTCTGTTCCACTTCCTCACCTAATCATTAATTTTTTTCCATTTTTACAAGGTTAGGTTTAGCAAACAAGGGCCTCTGTCTGTTTTTATAAATTAAGTTTTACTAGAACACAGCCATGCCCATTATTTACATATTGCTCATGGCTGCTTTTATACTACCTCAGAGACCCTATAGCACACAAAGCCTAAAATATTTACTATAGCCTTTTACTTAAAAAAAAATTTTCTGACCCCTGTACTAGCTCGTTCTCAGCATCAAACATGCGCTTATTTTTCTCCAGCAGAAAAACATATAATCTTGACCTCACTTCCCCCAGTAGTCAGTATTCTGTAATTCCTCTGTTTCTCTTTATAACAAAACTTAAAAAATAAAAAAATGTGTCTCTCCTCCTCTGTTTCCACCTTAAACCCACTCCATCAAATTTCACCTCCATTGCTCCACCAAAACTGCTCATGTGAAGGTCTCTGATGTATTGACCATGAACTGTGGCTTTTTGAGAGTACACTGTTGTCTCCTACCTTTGAAAGGCAAGAGGATGTCAGACTAGGTTACTGAAGAGGCAATAGTTTATCTGTGTGGCATCCAAGAAAGAGCCCTCAGGAGTGGCTCTCATGTGCTCGGAATTTTAAGCTATTTCAGTGAGGTCCCGGGAAAATTCAGAGTAAGGGCTGACGAAGGCAACGAAGGAGGCACATTATGAACTTCTGAGAAAGCCACCAACACTTCCCCTTTAAATCATCATCAGTCCCCTCTAAACTGTGTCAGTGTCTGAGGGTGGAGGATGGAAGGGAAGGAAGGAACGAATAGCTGAGATTTTTCAGGGGCAAGTGATCAAATCCTTGTTTCTATTCCATTTTGTAATGGCTGTGGCCCCTCCTTCCACCCCAACTTTTATCAGAGTCAGCACCCTGGCTAATGGATTTTTTTGGTACTTAGGTGAGTTTATTTGCTTATTACTTCTCCCCCGCCCCCCAATAGAATGTACATGAGAATAGGAACCCTGTCTGTTATGCTCACTATATTGCATTCATGATCCCTAGAACAGTGCCCTGAACCCTCACGAAGTATCTGTGGAATGAACAGATGCAGAGTCTCACACTTTGGCCCCAGACCTATTGCATCAGGAACAGGACCTTGGGAAAAGAAAAAATAAGAAGCTTTCGATGACCTCCGTGATAATAAGTGCAGTGACTTTTCTCAGTACTCATCTTAATGTACTCATCAGCAGCATCTGATATAGTTAATAACCACTTCTTTCTAATAAATATTTGTCACTTTGCTTACAGGGCACCACATTCCTGGATTTCTTCCTATTTCACAGCCTTCTTTGCTAAGTTCTTCCTCTTCTCCTCAACCTCCTTAGGTTGGAGTGCCCCAAGGCAGATACCATAGTCTTTTCCTTCTATCTATATGCCACTTGTAAATTCATCAAGTTTCAAAGCTTCCTTTTTCCTGGAACATAAATGCAGTACCATAACTTGATAGTTAATTGTGCTCTCCCCAATTTTTCACTGCTCCAAAACCCACTAATATTTTATACTAAATTTTTTTTTATTATTATTTTTGTTCTGACCAGTAAGGGGATGGCAACCGTAAGCATGGTGTGGTCTGCACCACGCTCAGCCAGTAAGCGCACCAGCACCGCACTCTCCTGAGTGAGCCACGGGCCGGCCCCTAAATTTCTTTTTTGAAATTCCTATAATAGTTTCACTTCCTTTGATGTAACTTCAACCAGTATACAAATCAACAATATCTGATTTAGAGGCTTTCATATTGGGTTAATGCTAAATAAACACTAGTATTTATATAATGTACAGAGACCATTGATATGGTCTGTAAAAATACACTATTGGTAAAAAATATGGAATAGATGTTTCTCTGAAAATTATGGTACTTTTGCCTTGTACTTTAGTAGTCATTTACATTTTGGTTCTAGTATATTTAGCTACAAATTAAGAACGTACTATCTATGTCAGGTTCTATAAATATGTAAACTCTTTGAAACCTCACAACAGTCTAAATTGTAGATTTTATAATCTATATTTTATAGAAGAGGAAGCTGATAGTCGATAATTAGCCCAAGGTTACACAGCAAATATAGGACAGAACTGACATTCAAAACAAAGCTCATATTCCTAGTAAGTGCTCTAATAATTACCAATGTACACTCTGGGGATGACTGGAACCATTCAATGTTCTTTTTTGTTTGTTTGTTTGTTTGTTTGTCATTCTAGGCTTAGTAGTGTGCTATAGATACAGAAAGTGTTTCATAATTTTTGTATTGAATCAATAAGTCCTTGAAATAGCTTACTTTTAGAATGAGGATTAATGCTAGGCATCATTTCTAGTCCATTAAATTAAACTAAATCCCAAAGATAGTTCATTTACCTCTTAAAATTAGGTAACTGAGTTGTCACATCTTATTTGATTATGGTAGAATCAGTCCAAAACTGGCTTGAATTTATATGCCACCTTAGTTTAACATTTATTGAGCACCTAGTCAATGCTGAGCACTCTGCTAGAGCTCCACAGATGCAAAATTGCTTTAGACATATTAAGAATTTACAACATGAGTGTGGAAGTGGGTGATATTAAGTGAAGGAAACAACAATGTAAATAACAGCTCTAATTCATGCAGAAAAACACATATACGATATAAAAATACAAGTGGCATGATTTAGGAAGAGAAGAATTTATCTAAAAGCTAGAAATGGTGGAGAACATCTAAAAAAATAGTTGTGGAAAAGTTGAACTTGAGCTGGAATTTAAAATTTATGATACTGCAGTTCACATAAAGGTGATGGTATGGGAAAATAAAAAAAAAACATAAAAGTATACAAAAAATATAGACAATTATAAATAACTGTGTTGCTAACCCATAAAGTTTGATGTGATAAGAAATGGGGATGGAATTGTTGTCTGGAGCCAGATTAATTTATAAATTAAGCAGAATTTTCTGTCTAGGCAATGGGAGTCATTGATGGTTATGGAGGACAGAAGTGATGTATACTTTGACTTGAATAGTTTGAAAGTATCTAATGGAGGGAGAAAGATGAGTGAAAGACAGTAAGTAAAGAAAAGGTATCTAAAAGGGTAGAAATGGCAAAGGAAGAAATAGAGACTATGAATATTTGAATGGAAAGACGGCCAAAAATTTGGTGAAAGCATAATGACACTGAATTAACAGTACCTCCCCAACTCCCCAAAATGATTTAAGTATAACAAAATTACTGGTGTACTGGCTTTTGGGAGGAAATATTAAGTCTGCCTTTGACTACATTTAGTTTAAAATGTTGGCAATATAGGGCCAGCCACGTGGCTCACTTGGAAGAGTGCAGTGCTGGGAGGACCGCTGGCTGAGCCTGGTGCAGCCCACACCGTTCCTACGGTTGCGATCCCCTTACCGGTCAGAACAACAACAACAAAAAAATATGTTGGCAATATAATCGCCAGGGTCGAATTGAGAATTTGGATCTAACTCTAAAGAGAAGTCTGGACTGGAGTTGTAGATTTGGCAATCACAAGCATGAATCTGGTAATTGAAATCTAAAGAGTAAAGAATGATACCTTAAAAGAATATTTGGGATGCAAATACAACCCAGAGGAGAACTTTGAACAGAAGAAGAAAACTGAAAATAATAAAAAAAAATGAAATAATCAAATATAAGTACATAGGTGAAGAGCCTAGAAAGCTTGCAAAACCTAAGGAAGAAGAGCAGTCCACAGAAGTAGACAGGGAAATCAATGTTAAATTCTTTGATAGATATACATGAAAGAAGCCTAGAAAATGCACTGGATTTCCTAATAGGATCAGTTAAGACCTTTAAAAAGCATTTCAGTGGAGCAGTGAGGACAGAACTAAATTTAGTATGGGGTTGAGACAGAAAGAGGAAGCAGGAAAGGTTTCTCACAGAAAAAAATCTAGATGTGGTTATAGCATACAGAGAATGTGGGCAAGGATATGATCTAATTTATTTAGTTTCTATCTCAAGGCAGGTGTATTAACTCAGCAATTTAAATTTAATATTTTTCCATTTAATACCTACATCCCAACTCCTCCTTTTCGCTGTCTCAATCCAAAGCAGAAAATTCAAATACAGGTTGAATATTCCATATCCAAAATGCTTGGAACCAGAAGTGTTTTGGATTTCAGATTTTTTTTTTCTTTTGGATTTTGGAATAATTTGCATATACATAATGCCATTTCTTGGGAATGCGACCCAAGTCTAAACATGAAATTCATTTGTTTCATATACACCTTATACACATAGCTTGAAGTTAATTTTATATAATATTTTTAATAATTTTAGATGAAACAAGGTTCAGGTATATTGAACCATCAGAAAGCAAAGGTGTCACTATCTCAGCTACTCATGTGGACAATCTGTGGTTGTTTGGAATCATAATCATTTCTGACTCTGAATTTACATGAACCAATAAATAATCATTTTCTTACATTTATTCTCACATAGGTACTTAGCCAAAAATATGACATTTGGCATACTATTAATACAGTGAAAAACTAATGTGTTCAGAGTAACAAAGCCACACAGTAGCATCAGCAGAATACCTGTATCAGCTGTTAAACAACAGCAACAACAAACAGCAGCAGACTTTTCATCTCCACCTATGATGCTCTGTTTTGATTAAAGGTTACTGGACACTGTATTTTATTTTTTAGGTGAGAAGAAACATCAGAAACTCTTGAAGGACCAAGAAGTAGGTTCTCTACGAATGACAAAGCATTTTTCTGGATAGCTTTTAAAAATGTTTCCTCCAAAGTCATCTGCCTCATTGACAATGTTTTTTGTTTGTTTGTTTTCTGTCTTAGAAGTCTCTTTTAGATTTTAGAAACTGACAGGATTTCTTGTTCTGTTATGAACGCACACTGCTCTAGTTCTTCAATAAGCCCATCACTTATTTTCACTGCATTGTCTATAAGCACTTTTTCTGCAATGTTAGCAAAGGCATCTTCATCATCATTGTTATCATGATCACCTTTATTCAAAACCATTTTGGCTATTTCACCATCAGTTAATGAATGAACAGCAGGAGCCTCATTATTGATTTTAAAACTTCTTCAATATCTTCTTCCTCCAGCTTACTGACAGACTCAGAAGGTATATTTTTTACACATTTAAGGAGGCTAGACATCATTTTTTTCTCACTTGATATACAAAATCCTTCAAAGTCACCACCTCATTCACCATGAAAAGTGAACATAAGTCACAGGCCAGAGGTTGTGGCAGGTATGCATAACTGTGTCTTTAGCCACTGTGTTCCAAGCTTTGGCAACAGAATATGTGGCAACCTTCACACTAAACTCCATTTGAAAATCGTCCACACCCATGCCTCTGTTTGCTGCTGCCAGCATGCTGTTCAAGAAAATGTTTTTATATTTACTCTTAATTGATCTGAGGGCACCCTAGTCACATGCTGAATTAAGAAAGTCACATTTGATGACAAGTACATAGCATAAACATTATTTTTGATGAGAATTTCAGCTGGAAGATGAGCAGAACAGTTGTCAAAGAATAACAACATTTTGCTGTCATCAGCCAGTCCAGCTTCTCTGCAGTAAGTGTAAGCCACTGGTACAAAACTTTTGTGAAACCAATCGGAAAGATGTCCCCAGTGATCCATACCTTTTTGTTAGCATAATAATGGACCAGTAAGAAATTCACTCCTTGAAAAAAGTGAGAACTCAAGCTTTTTCCTATTCTAGCACTTATGTTTGCCTGCTGCATTAGCACATCTCCACAGTTACTCTGTTCTTGGCATCCTTAATTCCCTTAGGGGCTGTCTCATCAGCTACAGTCAGTGTTTTTCTGGGGCAATAGCATCCCGACAGTAATATTTCGTCAGTATTATAGACTTGTTCTGGCATCAGATTTTCATCAGTGATGACCTTAGAAAACTCATCAATGAATTTCTCTGCTGCTTCATGATTAGCAGATGTTTTATCACCACAAATCTTTAAAAATTTAATCCCCTGTCTTTTCTTAAATTTCTACAACCAGCCTGTTCAGTATTCACAGTTCTCTTCAATTTTTAGTTCATCATGATAGGTCTTTGTTTATTTCATGTCAGCATATCATTAAATGGCATGTGTTCACTATGATGTTGATGGGTCCACTCTTCAATACATGACGGAGATCTTCATTTTTAGTTTTATGCAGTGCTCTTCTATTTTTTATTAGCTTCTCTTCATCACATTCAGGATAGAGCTTCAACAGGTTATCCTTCTGTTTCTTCAGATTATATACTGATGGTCATTCCAACATCATAGTCTTCTGTAAGATGTTTCACACTTTTACACCACTGTCCAGTTTCTCCAACAGATTGAATTTCTGTGCAATTAATAAACATAAATGTTTTTCTCATTTTCTTACCGCTGTTACCCATAGGGAAATCTGCAGGCCTTTTTTGACTTTTTTAACAATATCTTTACACCACAGAGCAGCGAATAAACAAAAAAACTACAGTTAATGGGGCTTGTTGGCAACCTACTGTTGGCATGTGTGGCCTGTACACATACCATTTCTTTACCTTTCATAGACATGCTTGCTTGGGGAATCTGGGCATGTGTGAAAAAGATACATCACAGCTGAGGGAGGCTGGGAGTGTCTGTTTTCCCTTGGTGACACTGAATAAACTGTTGTGTGCCTGCCTTTTGATTGACAACTGCAACATGAGGTCAGATGTAGAATTTTCCATTTGAGGCATGATGTCAGAGCTCAAAAAGTTCCAGATTTTGGAGCATTTTGTATTTCAAATTCACACAGTAGTCCCATCTTTCTACTCTCTCCAATCTTAAAAGACCTACAGGATGAAAAGTACAGTGCACACTGAAAAGAGTTACCAACATGGGGATAGTGATGAGGAAAGTTGAGGAGAAACACAAAATGGGAGAAAAAAATGAGTCCAAAAGACCGAACTTCAAACATGGTTTTGGGTGTATGGTGGAGGTCTGGTGGTTGAAAATAGCAGAAGAGACAAGGGAAATTTAGTTTTTTATTTACTGAATTTATCCTGTACAAGAATTTGTGCATGTGCAGAGTGATAATAGGGAAATGATTAAACAGCGTATGATATTAGGTACAATGTAAATATTGATTCTGCCAACAGATCATGAAGAACTAAGAAGAACTAACAACATGCAAACTAGAATTTAAATTTTGGCTTGGTTGTGAAAGTAATACTAGCAACTGTAAAGTTATTTATTTGAACTGCTCAGCATTTATGCTTAATTATATGCAACACTATAATGACTATGTACATAATTAAAAGTGCATCAGATTAATTTTGTTAGAAAGCTTACTCAAGTACAACAGAAAATTTTGTACTTGAATCATTAGTCTTCTCAGAGTGCATTTCATGAAGTATAGTCATTGCCTTATGCAACATTTTCATTGGTTTGGATTTTCCACTGAAGTAGGAGGACCACTAGTATCCAAGGGGATGAAATATGCAAGTGAGAACACAGACTTGTAAACATGGTATCTAATCTCTATTCCTCAACATTGTCATAAAATAAAACTGCCTTTTTGATTAAAGAAGAGGGGCTATTATTTCAGGGATCAAATCTAATTCAATTGATAATGATTCCCCTAATAGAAACCTCTTTATTCTGTTTTTAAGGATTTTTTTTATGCCTTTATTCACTTGTAAAGGAGATTAAGTTGCAAAGGAGAATATTATCAACATTTGAGCATACCTTCTCTCTCAAGTACAAGTAAACAGTTTACAAGTAGTCGGTAGCTTTGAGGCATGAAAGCTATTATGCCAATATTTTTTTTTTTTACTTTGAAACAGAATCAAGAAATAGGTTTCTGAATTTGTATTGCTAATAAATAGTAAGAGGGAGTCTATAGGAGTAGAAAATTAATTCCTGCTAAATCTAAGATCTCTTTCAGCACTTATCTTTTTTTTTCTGAGTGGTATTATAGTACTATGTTAAGGCCTTGTATGCTGGAGCAAGATGCCTTAACTGCAGTTCTGGTTTTACTAATTTCAGGCTATGTGCATGTGGCAGAGAATACCTAAGTGTTCATCAATACTGTTTCCTCTTCCTGGGCAAATAAAAAGCTGACATTTCCTAGTTGGCTTGCAGTTAGGTAGAAGCCATGTATCTCAAGCATCTGTCTTCTAGCCAATGTAGTGTAGGCCGAATTGGTGTGTGCCACTCCTTGACCTGGCCCTTAAAGCATTCTGACAATCTTCCACTCCTTCTTCACTTGTCAGCCATCTGGGTGCAGGGGATCCAGCAGAAGACTCCTAGGACCTTGGGATGGCAGAGTCCCAAAATGGAAGAAGCCTGGAACAGCACTTGGGAATCCATCCACTGATAACCCAGTAAGGCTGCGATGTCAGTAACAAATTGGATTTTTGTTGTATTAACCCCTTAGGTATCAGAGTAATTTGTTACGTAATAAAGTGGTGATGGGCAAATGACTTAAGTTCTCTGTACATGTTTCTCCTTATCACCAAAATGGGGATGATAATAGAAACTACCTCATAGGATTGTTTTGAGGCTTAAATGAGGTAAGTGATGGAAATTTTTTACAATATTGTCTGACCCATAATAGCTTTTCATCATTATTATTATTTTTTTATCATTTTTTATCTCTTACTCTTTTATTTTTGAGTGTTACATGACGCAGTTCTAATTTTGTCCTCTTCTGATGTCCTCTGTAAAAGTTTTTTTTTTTTGGGGGGGGGCAGAGTGGTAAAGTGTCCCAAGCTCTTTACCTGAATGCAAAAAGTCTCCAACAGATGGGGAAGCACTAACCATAGGTAATAAGGATTTTTCTACATTGGCCTCCTTGTTTCTATAAAATATAAATTTTGCTCTCTGAAGCAATGTACACCCATATTTAATTTGCTACATAATCATGGGCCAATTAAAAATTCAGACAAGCAATTTTCTCAAAATACTTATGCTAATCTGCACAGTCTTCAGGGATTGTTATGCTTTCTAACATCATTGGGATTTAGGACACACATTTCCACAAATGCATACAGGTACATGTTTTAAGAAATACATACAAATGAATCGTGTTGACTGCCTCAGAAAAAAAACAGAATGGTAGAGAAAAGTCATTAGAAGTTTGCAACCAGATTTCAACAACTACAAGTTATTACTGTTAGAAAGTTTCTTTTCTCATTAATTTTGCTTATATAAATAGCTGCAAATTGGAGAAACACTGCCATTGTGCATGTGTAGCCATCAGATCAACTATGGTGCAGTCAGTATAGCATTATTCTGCTGCCTTCTGACCTATAATGGAACAATTCACATGATCGTGGACTTAGCTGGGCAGTGAGAAAACAGCTGTGCTGTTTTATCTGAATGCTTCCAGGTTATATGTTTCTCCCTGAGAGGAAATCAGAACTTTTAGAAACTCTTTGGAAATACAAAATAGTATAGGCACCTTTCTAAGTACATATGTTATCTGAGACAATATTTTTTTTAAAATGGGATAATGTTTCATTCTCAATTTTTGTAATAAAATTGTTCCTTGAATTTGGCTTGTACAAAAATTCCTTTTAAACCACAACTGTAATCATATTAGTGAGAAAAAAATTATTCTTTCCTCATGTAGCACATTAAAAAATAAATGTTTCACTCACTTTTTGTATTTGAAGACTGAAAAGCTGATGTAGCTACTTACCATTCCAGACAGTCCCTCTTGTCAGCAGGATGCATGTTTGACATATTTAGAATGATGATAATTTGTGTCACATCATTCATCCTCTCAGCCTTGTTTCCTTGGCTTAGTAAAATGCAGCATGAGCTGGCTTGCAGAGACTAGGCTGCTGCTTATGACTACTAACGTGGATTTCTTCAGAAGACTTTGCTTAGTGTGCTAGACTACTGCCCTGGCCTCAAATTTTCAGTGTGTTCTTATATAGAAATACAGAGCATTAAGGCAATTCTTTTTTTAAAATGTATTTTTTGTTCCATTTCTGTTATTATTAGTATCTTTTACATGCAGTTATATTCATTCTTTT